AGACATTTGTACGTGCAACACCATAACCCAGACAGCACGCCCTTCCCTTTTCTCTGTTATAAAAGTGTGCGTTGATGTGTATAATAGAAATGATTGAGTGTGCCGTACAGGTGTGCAATGGATACACGTATCACGAATCCCGCAGCTCGTTCATCCGTAGTGCTTTTTGTTAGCCACGTGGGAAATAAGTAAATGCGATATAAACCAAAAAGGCAGATAATGCACTTTTTCCAGGCATTGCTGATACAGGTTTATCCTAAGCAAATAAACATAAAAATGTTTTATCCCAGTGGTATCAAACCCTGGGGACTTTGACCAGTTGGTTCCATTTAATTGCATTAAGAAATGGAGCATAAAATACAATTTATTTATAGGTCTTTACGAACAGAGCCGGGAAACCTCGGTGATATTTTTCTTTTAGACTTCCTTTATTAGCTGCTCTTACTCCAGGCTCCTTTTACTCTACTAGAAATGTGAACATAGTGAATGGACCAGCGAAGATGGATGGGAACGTCTCATGTATTTAAGTGTTTTGGTGGAAGAAAAGTTAAGATATTATGGGATGGCAAGACAGCAACTGAAATCTGTGTCTGAAGGTAGATACCAAACCCCAAAAGCACTTCAGCTTGAGGTGGTTCTAAAGAGGTTAACCAGGTGGACCTACTTTGTCATTTGCCCCAGAAAAATATCTCTGAGTTTCAGTGCGTCTCGATGAGAAGCGTCGTAGTGGCCGAGAGATGATTAATACTGGTATCTCCCGGCAGGCACAGTGGAGCTCCGGAGAGGGACTGTCTCACCACTGAGCTGTAAATAAGTTAGCCCTTTAATTTGCCATTAATGCAGAGATCCAGGAAACTCTCTAGTGCTTCAACATTCTAAATAAAAGTATTGATAAATAAAACTGAAGTGTTCCTTTAAAAATAGATTGAAATAATTAGAGTCGTATACTAGCCAGAAAGAAAAACCAACAAACTGCGCAGAGTGAAAAATAACTGTAATGATCTTTATAGCTTATTTTTAAAAGTTACAAATTAAAATAGTGACTATAATAGTGCCATGGAGAAAATATTGATTAAAATACACATTGTGCTACCGTGTATTGTTCATATTTATAAATATCCTCACATAGATAAGAAATTTACTTAAAACATGCTATTTGATTATGAAATTATTATTGGTGCTAAAAAAGCAGTAATTACTTATTATTTTAGTACAGTCCATTAGCCCCCTGTACACCCCCTTAGCCGTCTAGCTGTGTATACAATTATCTGTTTGATGTGTCAACCAGCTATTTCCAAGACAGGATAGATCTGTGTTTGGGAGACGTTAAAGGGACACAGCTTAATGTAGTTGTTCAGGTGAGATCTATAGCTCCCTGCAGTCAATCTAATGTAAACACTGTATTTTCAGGGAAAATACAGTGTTTACATTGATTGATAGGAATACCTCCAGTGGCCGTCACTCAGACGGCCACCAGAGGGACTTCCTATCAGGTAGGGCCCTAAAAAGGCCCTGTATACGTCAGACGTATTAAAATACGTCTGACGTGTGCAGGAGAGAGAAGGCACTGTGTGCGTGCCTTCTCTCTTCTGCCTGTCAGCAGAGGCGGGGGGCGGGCAAAGACCGCGAGCTGAGCTGTCAGTCAGCTCAGCTCGCGGCCGCGCACACCACGCGCATGCGCGGTAGTGCACTCAGGACTTCAGAGGCGGCATGAATGCCGCCCTCTGAAGTATGTGCGCATGTGCGGCAAAGCACAAATGGAAGCGTCTGATTGCTCCCTGCTCGCGCCCGCCTATTTCGTCATTTTGACGAAATAGGGGGTGCGGCTTCACGAGGCTCCCGGCGCTGGAACCAGGTGAGTAAAAACTGCTGCCTGGAGAGTCCCTTTAACCTAAAACAAAATACAGGCACTGCAGAAAGTATGGACCATGAAAAAGACAGACAGACAGACAGACATGAAGCCATAGTGTCACACTGCACAGGTGGAGTAGCGCTTATGTGGAACGCACATCGAACGCACTGCTATAAAATGCTGTGAATACATATTAAAAAACAAGCAGGCAGACGAGAGGCTAATAAACCAGTACTCTTATTTGTTAATATCTACAATTATCTATTTCGTTTGTATATTCCGTACGACATGGTGGGTGATGTCACATGTGCATTAAAACCAGTATTGCCCCAAGTGGTTGACACTGTACAATGCAGGGGCTCTAACCTTCAATTCCTGGCCTGCACTTAATAATTACACTCATGGCATCAACTGCCACCAGTAATTCAGTTTCATAATATTTCAAATGCCAGGCCCTAAAGGTTACTTGCCAATGCAAGCCTTGTGAGTCCATGACACACACATCACAGGTCAACTGCTACTCACCAGGGATACATTTTTATTCCCCATTTTTTTCATTCGCAACTGGCTAGTGTCGAGTGCAAATTTTGAGCCCGAATAGACAGTATATTCACATTTATGTTCACTTTTCTTCTTAAACAGTCAGAATGTTATCTTTTCTTGAAATATCTAAGTGACTTTTTCTGTTTAGGAGAAGGTTGTATAACCTGCAATTGGTGTCAGTCTTGCTTTGTAATGAGTTTGAGTTGTTCTGTGTTGGTTGAGATCTCTTGAAGATTGACCACATCAACGTACAAAATTCTGCCTTCCTGATAAGTTAACTGTGGCAAACCCATCTGTCTGTGAAGTACTTTTATTTTCCCTCCATTCATCTGTTTGTTTGTTTTTTTTCCCCTGTCTGTACAGTCCCTATGTTTATTTGCTCTTTTACCGAACAACTGCCGAACGGCCGGCCACCCAGCAGGAAAGTATGCTGCTTGTTAACCTCTTGGCCCCATCAGAACATTGTGGTTAACCGCAGACACTTCCTAATTGCCGAATGTCGGCTGGGTGGTCGTCGTTCGTATGCCGACAACGAGGCGGCAGCCATCTTGGACGTACGAATGCTCAGCGGTGTTCGTCAACAATTTTATGGAACTAAAAACAGACACTATTTCTCACGAACACCGCTGAAGCTGCATACCTTTTTCTGTTCATCCAGCTTACGAACGCCAGCCCGTTCTGTACTTTTTATGCACGAATGGACTTACCCCAGATAACTATGCCATGGAGCCCATTCGTATAACGAAAGACAATGTGAAAGACTTTGGCTCCATGGCGATTGAACTGTATGTATGTGATATGAGCACCATTCGGTAATAATGTGCGCTCAGATCTAAGCTATCTGGGGATACGTTAATTGTACCTAGTGCATTCGGTAGTTTGTATGTTATATATTTTTATGTGTTTTTCCTGCCACATGTAAAATGGAGTTTTGCCTCTATCCTGGGAGATAATTGACTTACTTCCCAATTATCTCCAGGATAGAGAGGAGGGTTCTTCACAGCTAAAGGGTTTATGCCTGCAATTCTGTGATTGGTTACTTTGTCATTTTTGTCACAGTTTTCCACCAGGTCCCCTAGGGGAGTGTCCACCTGGTGGAAGACCTGCATAAAAACCGGGCAGGTAGCCCCATTAAAACCAGATCACTGCTTGACCCTCAATACAGAGCTTTGTCTCGTCATTGGGGGGATTTATATTCGTATGGTTTCCCGTTCGGCTGTTTGGATCGTGAAGTATTTCATATGGTTCCTGTTTGGCTAATTGGAGCGTTCGTTAGTTGCTTCTCCCTTCGGAAGGTGAACGTCCTTAGCGGTGTTAACCCCTCTTATACCTGGGTGTACCGTAACATTAACCAACAAGGAGTGTGTCTAGATAGGAACTACTATGGCTTGAATTTGGGCAGGATCACTGGAAGAAGCTCTGATTATGAATCTCCTGTGTTTAACCACCCTTATTTATGAACTTGGATAGTACATAAACAGAAGAAAAGTGGAAAAGGTCTGACAATATGTTTTAGCCAGATGTGTACAGTGGGCACCAGACAGTCAGTCGTATGCCCAACGACTGAGATTTATAAATAAATGAGGCTAAAGTTGCTGCAATGGAACAGCCACCATGGAAACAAACCTCTTCCAACTGATCTATTTGTTTCCAGTTGAGATTGTTACACTTTTGCAACTTTGTCCAATTTTTTTAAGGAACCTTTCTTGACTCCCCACCAAATGATCTTGGCCAGATCAGCCTCATCCTTCAGAAGTGATGGTTTCTGTGTTACGTTTAGACTCTTTAAATACCTTCATGTGTAATAAATCATCAGGTCATCTTTCATCATCATAAAGTGGAACTCATCCATAGACCTGTGAACTGTCTCATCACCTTCTTGGAGAGACTCATGCAGGCCAGATATCTGGATGATGAAAACCTCATTGCACTAAGCAGAAAGAAAAATGGACAGCATGCAGAATATGCTTCATACTGCTAATAATCTCAGTTGTTTAGAAGAATTGGAGCAAATTCATCTTAAAAAACATCTACCTGCATCCTCCCAGTAAACAAGTCAAATGAAAGATGTTGATTTGATGTTCCACAAACTCTAAATATATGCAAAAGGAAAACCATACATTATAAAATGCAACAAACATTGTAAATATGAGATTTGAATGGCATTATTGACCTGCAATTCAGTCCTTGTTTCTTTGAAAGGTTTGAGAAGGACTTTGATCTTCCAGTGATCAAATAAAGTCCCTGTTTGAATCTACAGTAAATCTACCGTATGGCACATTCACAATTAAGCACGTGTCACATTTTGAGACTTTGAAGTCAGACTTTCGTTATCAAAATAGAAAACCAAGAGGAAAGATGGTTTCAAGATACATTTTTAATAAGTGGAGGGAAACTCAGAATCAATTAGTCTCTTCCTCTGAATATCATTGGAAACGTATTCAGTAGCAATAAGAGACACCAGGGAAATATTACATCAAACAATAGGATGGCTTATACAGATCTATAAAGAGCTACTAACTTGAGTAATAGGAGGGAGCGTGAGTAGGGTGATAGGGAGTAATAGGAGGAGTTATAGGGAGGGTTATAGGGAGTAATAGGAGGAGTTATAGGGAGGGTTATATGGAGTAATAGGAGGAGTTATAGGGAGGTTATATGGAGTAATAGGAGGAGTTATAGGGAGGTTATATGGAGTAATAGGAGGAGTTATAGGGAGGGTTATATGGAGTAATAGGAGGAGTTATAGGGAGGGTTATATGGAGTAATAGGAGGGGTTATAGGGAGGTTATATGGAGTAATAGGAGGAGTTATAGGGAGGGTTATATGGAGTAATAGGAGGAGTTATAGGGAGGTTATATGGAGTAATAGGAGGAGTTATAGGGAGGTTATATGGAGTAATAGGAGGAGTTATAGGGAGGGTTATATGGAGTAATAGGAGGGGCTATAGGGAGGGTTATATGGAGTAATAGGAGGGGTTATAGGGAGGGTTATATGGAGTAATAGGAGGGGCTATAGGGAGGGTTATATGGAGTAATAGGAGGGGTTATAGGGAGAGTTATATGGAGTAATAGGAGGAGTTATAGGGAGGGTTATATGGCGTAATGGGAGGAGTTATAGGGAGGGTTATATGGCGTAATGGGAGGAGTTATAGGGAGGGTTATATGGAGTTAAAGGGGGAATTATAAAATGTTATTAACTATAACACTACCTGTTCTGGCAATATTGCACAATTTTTTTTGCTGTGTTTTATTTCCACAGATTTGTCCCCAATCCTAACATGACATTTCACCTTCATATTTCCCTCATACACTGATTTGTTTTGCACAATCCATTCTGTAAAAAACCTATATGTTCCCCTTACACTGTTTACAAGCACTTTTTAAATATTCACCATATGTTTTAAACATCGTTGTCTTTGTTCCAAATATAGGTTTATTATGACCTTTTATGTATTCTTACCAATGGGATTGTGATACTTTTATATATTCACTTTGACAATCCACCATATGTTTCAATAAGATATATTATATGATTTCTCTTATTTTAGTAATGTACCCATTATTTATATTCTCTTATGAATTGGACTTTTTTACCCAATGAGTGAAATATGCTAGCAAGTGGAATTCAAATAGATAGCATTGCGTTCCACAAAATGAAAATGAAACCTCCTTCATACACAACAAGTAGGGACACTCCCAGAACAATACGTATACGTCACTTCCCGATGACAGAAGGCACCCACATGATATTTCGGCAACCATGATGCATTCCAAGAGAGAGGCATGTTGGAAATGATGAACCCAAAGTGAATGAAAGGCGGCGGATTTAAAGAGAAGAGAACTCAGATGAGCATCACAACCAACTGAGGAAGCCCCATTACAGGGGCAAAGGGCATTTTGGATCTAGGACTATATTGTCCACATACCAATCAAGGTTTTTACCTTGTTATTTATTAATTGTATTTGTTCATTTGATTTTATTATCCAATAAAGAATCTCTTTGAAGAATCCTGTGTCTATACTGATAGATCTACACAAAAGGGGAGACAAAAGGAGTTGGACATCCTTAAAGTGTCCTTCCACCCTTTCCATCCAAGCCATATGACGTCAATGGCTCTCCACTTGTGAGTGAAACTCCAACTCGTATTAACTATAACGCTACCTGTTCTGGCAATATTGCATAATTTTTTGGTGTGTTTTATTTACACAGATTTGTACTATAGCTTGTTCCAATCAGCTCCACCTTATGTTTTTTATATCTTGTGTATTTGATAGAGGTGGTTTGGGGGAAACCACTCAAGGTGTATTGCGCTTTCCTATTTTAATTACTTTAAATTGTGTACTTTTCTTTTTACATTGCATATAAAGGAGGTTATTGTGGCAAAACTAGCCACTTAAGACTGCATTTGCATTCCTGTAATATTGTATCTTTAAGGCTATCTAAACTGTGCATGTTCCCTTTTCTGTATTTGATGCGAACGAGAGCATTCATATGCTGGCGGCATGTAAGGCACCAGCATTCCTACAGTAGTTTCACGAACAGTGAATTTCAACACTGTTCATGAAATGAACAAACTACCGAATGGGAGACCACACACAGGAGGTCGTGTGGCTCCCATTACGGATCGCAACATTGTATCTTTCAGCAGTTAATAGATGTTCAGGGTGGCCGCCGTTCGGATACCAACCACGTGGCGGTCGGCCATCTTGGGTCCTTTGTTAGCCCAGCGGCATTTTGTCGTGGAGTGCCTGGAACTGAAATCGGCACGAATACCGCTGGACTTCCAGGCCGTTCGGTAGCAACGGTCTTTCGGTATTTTATCGCTGCATGTGTATTCGTGACTTTGGTGAAAAATGTGTGTCCAAGTGTACTTCGTGCGGCGTTCGGCTAATTGTGCTGGGATCTGAGCGGTACTTTCGCGAATTATGCGCTCAGACCCCAGCTATCTGTGGAACGGGCATTCGGTATAATAGCACGAATAATGTTAAAGTTATATATTTTTATGTAAAAAACAGTTCTGCTGCACGGAGGGATAATCCACTTAACTGGATATTCTAGTGGGAGTATCCCTCTTGTGCAGCAGTGCATGGTGGGAGAAATGTCCAGGTTGTTAAGTTCCCCATGTAGTCCCCTACTGTACAACCCCTGTAAAGTAAGTAAGGAAACCCCTTGCATGGGGAACCATATAAATACTGTGACCTGTGAATAAAACCTCAGTTGACTCCCAGCCTATGTGTCGTCTAGTTCTTGGGAAGGAAGGATTTATATAACGCTACCGGGATTATTGTATGCTGTAATTGTTATACCTGGATTATTCTATGCTGTTCCTGTCTCCCAGTGAGATACTGTGGATAATACTACCTCGCCGCTACAGTTATATGTTGTAATAGTGTGTGTGTGGGGGGGGGGGAGGGTATAGCGGGGGTTACTCCTCCTTAAGTTTATTAAGTTGTGAAATAAAGAGATCTTGGAAATTATACAAACATACCTTCCCTGCTATGATACCTTTCTGTTATTACAATGGTCTCTCTTTTTACAATTTTTTTTTTTACGTAAAACACCCTTCTTTAGGGGTGTGACGTAAATTTCAGCCCATGTCCACACATGGACGCACCCACAGGGTTAACACCTTGTATGCCGCTATACAGAATGAGACACTGCCTTTTCTGCAAAAGGGAATATTTCTGCCTTAGAGTTAATGCTGACACTTAAAGTGGGTGCTAAAAAAATGTACCGACAGCTAAGCTTTAAGTAATTTATTCAGCTGTAACGTCCCCTCCTGCACAGGGTACGCACATCTGACAAAAGAAATCCATTATGTTTAACACAAGTATGACAGGTACACGTGTAAGAACATCAGTGAAGCTGGGATGGAGCGCAGAAAGGTTACAATTTGCAATTGTTACAGATGATAGGGAGAGGATTCACTCAGATACTGTTCTGCTCCATCTCGCCCCCCCCCCCCAGCTCCCTTACAAGGTCACCGCATTGTGTTGTGTGCTCTGCGCAGGTAGCCTGCCCCTTTTATGTTATGTATTTTTTTCTCTTTATCTGCTGTCTCTTAATTTTTTTATTTGGTTCATCACTGTCTTTCCCAATTTGTTTCTTTTTTCGCTTGCATGCTGGAATATTTCTTTGATATCATGAAATCTTTCTTGGTTTCTCGTATCTTACAGCCGATCTGCTTTGCAAAGACTGACTAATGGCTGTGTTTTTTTCAAATCATTATTATTAAAAAAGACACAATTTTACACATTGGCGATGGAGAAGTCATTACAATTTCGAATACATTTTATGTGCTTCAGTGTAGATGAGATGTTGTTTTCAGATAATGAATACAGATAAGGAAATTCTAGAATGTAAGCTATGGATCATGGTTTCCAGGAGCCAGTACAAACCTTTATCAGGAAATCTATTCATAAACAGGGCTATACATAGGTCACACGAGGTCACATATTTAGGCTGGAAGAAAGGAGATTTCATCTAAGGCAAATAAAATATTTTTTTACAGTAAGAGCAATAAAGATATGGAACAAGGTTATGGTCAGTTTGTCCTTTGTTTGCAAAACTGTGTCAGACCATCTGGTAACCGAGGACTGGTACATGTCTACCAAATGCCACATTCCTCTAAAAGGGACAATAATCACCACAGTTAAGCCCCCAGCCCATGACTCTCAGCTCAGTGACACTTTTTCCACAGTCTAGGAGCCACCACAGGCTGGACAAGAGATACCTGGCCGGGAACCAGCCACAAACTCTTTGGAACTCTTGATCGGATCACAGAGTTGTTGTGTTCTGGTAAAACTTTGTCAAGAGTGCTTTCATTCCCTGAGACACCGATCAGAAAGCTATTTGGAGGGGTGACAGAGAAGGTGGCAAGGCATTGATTAACACCAAGGACTTGAAGGAGCTCCATGTACAAGTGCTGTGGTAGGTGTCTGGCCGCGATGTAAATAATCTGTTCAGGTACAGACACCAAGGTGCCAGGAATGTCGCAATGTCATTGTTCCCTTGTGGACCTCCTGTTGAGAACCCAGATATATAAGTGTGGCAGTTGTCTCAATAAAGCAGTTCTCCTTCACACTTCACTCTCAACTAGTGTTTGGGTGGAACTGAGATACTTGGTATCTGCACTGAGCTATAATCACTCATGGATATAAGCACACAGGGAAAGGGGACCTTGGTAGTGAGATTTCAACTTATAGGAGGACAGGCCACCACAATAACCATGGTCAAGAATACAACATTCCCAAGAAGCAACTCATATGTCTACTTATCTATGTGATACCAGTCAGATCATAATAATGTAATCATTCTGGAGCAAGATGTATGACTGTATGGGATGAGAATGATGAATTAATATTGTTATTAATGATTATAAATTATATTAAATATGGTTATTTAATGACCTGATCTTGACAGGCCTTCACTGAGCACAGTAAGCCAGGCCTCCATTGAAAGTGGTGTTCAGAGTTCTATAATGAATTGAAATGTAGCAATTAATATTTTAGGGTATTTTAGATTTGTGAATAATACAGTACAACTGAACTTTCCATTAATTAGAAAAAATATGTAAGACCTGCATGCATTTCCTCTATATATAATAACAATCTGGATCATCATAATGGGACTTGCACTGGGGTACAATTAGATAATCTCTTTTTTAAATCCAATAATCATTTGTTATCCCTTGGTAGATGTAATCATTCTACATACAGGCATGGCTGGCATTGCTGTTTATACACATATTTCCATTCGATGGTTGGTATAAACTGCACCAACCACCAACTCATATCTTGGTTTCCTACCTAAACTAAAATGATGGGGTCCAGCACTTTAACTTTCTTATGGGAACCTGTGACTCACTGACTTGGTGTTCAATTTAACTCTGACCTCTCCATTCCTCAAGTCCTGTCACTTGCCAAGTCCTGCCACTTCTATCTCAGAAACATAGCTTGCATCTTCCCTTAACTAACGCCAGTTGTGCCCAAGGTGCTGATCCATACCGCAAAAGTCTCTTGCCTTGACTACTGCAATCCACCTCTCAGTGGTCTATGCATTCCCAGTTGGCCCTGTTACAGTCCATAATGAATGTAGTAGTGAGGCTCATCTTCCTGTCAGCCGCCCGCACCTCCCATGCCTCCCCACTCTGCCAGTCCTTACACTGTCTTCCCGTAAGACATAGGGCTCAATTGAAAATTCGAATGCGTGCTTACAACACTGCTCCTACTTACCTATCCTCCCTGGGCCCTACACTCTGCATGTATTCTCTGTCCTTACTCCCACCTTCAAGACTTCTCTAGGGCTGAATTGTCCCTGTGGAAACCCTTTCCTGTTCTGCTAGACTCTCAAGCAGTCTCAGTTCCTTCACAAGATCTTTAAAAACTCACTTCTTTAGGAAATTATATCAATCTGTTAACAGCTTTCCCTCCCCGCACTTTGGTTATCCATGTGTCCTCTTCTTCTGCAACTGTGTCATCCAAAAAAACTAACACTTAATTGTAAACTATTCTAGTATCCTACATTTTCCCATACATGAAATACATCCTACCCTTACTTCTTGTGCCACTTTACCTCACTCCCTCTAGAATGTAAGCTTGTTTGATCAGGCCCTTAGCATCCTCCGTTCCTGTGCATCCAACTCGCCTTGTTGCAATTACATGTCTGTTAGTCCACCTATTGTACATTGCTATGGAATATGTTGGTGCTTCATAAATAACAATAATATATTAGAATGGTTCACAAGCCCCATGTCCCACAAACCTTATATCCTCAAATAGTTTGGATGATCTTAGCAGTATATGCATTCTCCAGGAGAACATTCAAGTAACTTCCTAAACATCTATCCTGAATTCCAACATTAAGGAAAAGACTCCATTTATGGGAACTCTTTCTCGGTTGTTTTTCCCCATCCTTAAACATTCTTGTATTCTGATATAATAAATAAAAAATCAATTTCCCTGATTTAATCCACCAAAGGCCATGCCACCATTAGCATACACAAGTGTTTGTTTTTTGTTTTCTTTTCTGTTTCTTTAGAAATTAAAAACAAAAGAAGAAACAGTTCAATGTTTTTGTATTAAAATGTCTGTCTGACATCGGGGGGCACAGGGACCTCCACTGACGCTTGATGACAAATGACAAAAGAAACTGCTCTATTCAAATTAGAGGCAACAAATAATTTTGACTTAAATTGGACTCTCGATGGGGCATAGTTTTTGAAAGATCCAATATGTTCAAAGGAACATCATCTCACAAAGAGCTTTGGATCTCATAGATAATATCACGGTGGCAGCTTTAACCATAACAATGTTCTATGCCACATTGAAAGGAATAAAAATATACCAAAGTATTGCGCTTCAACAAAATACCACTACAAACTCTTCTCACACAATGGTTTCTATGCAAACATGATTTCATACGATGTTCAATATATTAGAGACATGCAATATGACATTATGGCTAATTTATGGTGCACGATATTCCATATATTACATAATCTAACCATTATTAAAATCTCGTGTCAAAGTGGGTGATATCATATATGCACTTATTTCACAAAACGGAGGGAACTAGAGCACGGTTTGCTACCACTGTACGAGCCCTGATTTCAGGCAGGCCCGGTGTGCCGGAGATCAGTGGGAGATCTCAAGTACCTGCCCCCATTTTAAATCTCTCATAAGCTTAAAATAATGGCGTCAACTGCAAACTCTGACAAATCTCAGGCAGAACGGGATGTGTACAGTATTTTACAAAAGTGAGTACACTCCTCATATCTTTGTAAATTTTTATTATATCTTTTCATGTGACAATCCTGAAGAAATTACACTCTGCTACAATGTAAAGTAGTAAGTGTACAGCCTGTATAACAGTGTAAATTTGATGTTCCCTCAAAATAACTCAAAACACAGCCATTAATGTATAAATCGTTGGCAACAAAAGTGAGTACACCCCTAAGTGGAAATGTTCAAATTGGGCCCAAAATGTCAATATTTTGTGTGGCCACCATTATTTTCCAGCACTGCCTTAACCCTTATGGGCATGGAGTTCACCAGAGCTTCACAGGTTACCACTGGAGTCCTCCTCCATGACAACATCACGGAGCTGGTGGATGTTAGAGACCTTGCGCTCCCCCACCTTCCATTTGAGGATGCCCCACAGATGCTCAAAAGAGTTCAGGTCTGGAGACATGCTTGGCCAGTCCATCACCTTTACCTTCAACTTCTTTAGCAAGGCAATGGTCATCTTGGAGGGGTGTTTGGAGTCGTTACCATGTTGGAATAATGCCCTGCAGCCCAGTCTCCGAAGGGAGGGGATCATGCTCTGCTTCAGTATGTCACAATACATGTTGGCATTCATGGTTCCCTTAATGAACTGTAGTTCCCCAGTGCTGGCAGCACTCATGCAGGCCCAGACCATGACACTCCCACCACCATGCTTGACTGTAGGCAAGACACACTTGTCTTTGTACTCCTCACCTGGTTGCCGCCACACACGCTGACACAATCTGAACCAAATAAGTTTATCTGGTTTACTGGTTCCAGTAATCCATGTCCTTAGTCTGCTTGCCTTCAGCAAACTGTTTGCAGGCTTTTTTGTGCATTATCTTTAGAAGAGGCTTCCTTCTGGGAAGACAGCCACGCAGACCAATTTGATGCAGTGTGTGGCGTATGGTCTGAGCACTGAAAAGCTGACCCCCCACCCCTTCAACCTCTGCTGCAATGCTGGCAGCACTCATACGACTATTTTCCAAAGACAACCTTTGGATATGACACTGAGCACGTGCATTCAACTTCTTTGGTCGATCATGGCGAGGCTTGTTCTGAGTGGAACCTGTCCTGTGAAACCGCTGTATGGTCTTGCCCACCGTAGTGCAGCTCAGTTTAAGGGTCTTGGCAATCTTCTTATAGCCTTGGCCATCTTTATGTAGAGCAAGAATTCTTTTTTTCAGATCCTCAGAGTTCTTTGCCATGAGGTGCCCTGTTGAACTTCCACTGATCAGTATGAGAGAGTGTGAGAGCGATAACACCAAATTGAACACACCTGCTCCCCATTCACATCTGCAACCTTGTAACACTAACGAGCCACATGACACTGGGGAGGGAAAATGGCTAATTGGGTTCAATTTGGACATTTCCACTTAGGGGTGTACTCACTTTTGTTGCCAACGGTTTAGACATAAATGGCTGTGTGGTGAGTTATTTTGGGGGGACAGCAAATTTACCCTGTTATACAGGCTGTACACTTACTACTTTACATTGTAACAGAGTGTCTTTCGTTGTCACATGAAAAGATATAATAAAATATTTACAAAAATGTGAAGGATGTACTCACTTTTGGGAAATACTGTATATCGCATAGCAGGCATGACATTAAAAAAACCCTACTCCAAACTTCGTTCTAACCCTGCGCTATATAAATTCCAATTACAAGATGGTAACAATATTTATCACACTAACTCAAGCCCTACAGAAAACATGTTATGTAAAAGACTTATGAAGGCAGTGCTTTTATGGGACAATAATGGCATCTTTATAAAGACATTTATAAAGCATTTCTATAAGTAGGATTATTACCCTAAGTGTGAATTGTTTAAATTCAAAGTGAATTCCATTTTTCATTCAAAAGCAGCCAAAATGAAAACATTGCTGGCTTGGAGAATGTTTCTAGTTTGGCAATTTTAGATTAAATACGAACATTTGCTTTTAAACTCTTAAGAATTCACATTTAAAAGGACCATTAAAGGTCACTTCATCTCAACAACGTAGCTTGGGTGAGGGCTTGTCTCCTTTTTGTTCTGCCTTGTGAAAACATTGTCGTTTTGTAGATAAAGCAATGTTTTCATGGCAGGATTAAACTTGCCCCTAGTGGCTGCATTACTGACAGCCACGAGAGGCACTTCCACTGCAATGACCGAGTTTTTCTCA